CGCGGTGCTTGGGCCAGGGTTTGGGGGTGGGATGGCAGGGGTAGGGGAACGGTTGGGCTGGGGGAGCTTAAAGGGCTTTTCCAACCTGAACAATTCTGTGATTCTCTATAAGGGGCCAGGAGTGCCCAGTACCTGGGCTGGAGAGTTGGGTGCAGCTTTGGCAGGGGGAGTGGTACGTGCTTTAGTCTTCGTTGCCCACACGTGTTGTGCTTTTAGAGGGATGGCTAATGAAATCAGCTCTGCTGGGAGGCTTTGCTGAACTGCTCCTGTGCCTCTTGCGACAGCATGATAAAAACTGCCTGGGCCAGGAGGTGCCAATTGTTTGTGGCTGTGAAATGGTCTCACGTGCTCTTTCTCCCTCTCGTTCAAGGTGAGAGTCTGGCGTTACCTGAAAGGCAAAGACATCGTCACTCACGAGATCCTCTTGGATGGTGGGAACAAGGTGGTTATCGGTGGCTTCGGGGACCCATTAATCTGTGACAACCAAGTCTCAACTGGGGACACGCGGATTTTCTTCGTCAACCCTGCCCCGCAGTACATGTGGCCAGCGCACCGCAACGAGCTGATGCTGAACTCCAGCCTCATGCGGATAACGCTGCGCAACCTGGAGGAGGTGGAGCACTGCGTGGAAGGTGAGGCTGGAGCGGGGGGACCTGGCTGTCCCGGGGCTGCTCCGAGCACGCAGGCGCAGCAGCAGCCGAGCCCCAACTCTGTTGGCCACCTTGTGCTCTTAGCTGGTAAATGATGGGTTGGCAAATCACACACAGAATCCCAGAATGGCAAGGGTTGGAAGGGACCTCGGGAGCTCACCCAGTCCCACCCCCCCTGCTGTTTTTCCTGACATTCAACTGAAACCTCTTCTGTTTCAGTTTGTGCCCATTGCCCCTTGTCCTGGCACTGGGCACCACTGAGAAGAGTCTGGCTCCGTCCTCATGACCCTCACCCTTGAGATATTTGTATGTGTTGATGAGGTCCCCTCTCAGCCTTCTCTTCTTCAGGCTGAACAAGCCCAGCTCCCTCAGCCTTTCCTCCTAGGGGAGATGCTCCAGTCCCTTTATCATCCTAGTTGCTCTCCTCTGGAGTCTTTCTAGGAGTTCCTCATCTTTCTTGAACTGGGGAGCCCAGAACTGGACCCAGTGCTCCAGGTGGGGTCTCACCAGGGCAGAGCAGAGGGGGAGGAGAACCTCCCTCTCCCTGCTGGCCACGGTCCTCTTAATGCCCCCCAGGATGCCATTGGCCTTCTTGGCAACAATGATCCCTGGCAGATCAGTCCTGTGTTCTACACGTGTCTGGGGTAGAGTCATACCGCTCCGTGGGCTCGCTTGTCGGGGGGATGGTGCCTGTCATTGACCTCATTGTCAAAGGCAGTGGTTGCAACCAAGGTACAGCCAAGCCAAGTTATTTTATATTATTTTTGCTCCAGATTTCACGCAGGTTCTCAGTCTCCTCCGTAATGAGTCCGATGTGGTTGGGAGCATCCCTGCTGCAAGTCCTGTCCTTGGCAGGCGCTTTCCAGGGAATCTAGAGTCCTCACACCTGAGTTAAATTTTTCCTGTAGGTTTAGAGCTAATAAGTTAATGGGGTAATCCTGTGGCGAAGGCCTGGCCTTCATGGCAGTCAGCCCTGGCTTCCTTGCTCGCTAAGCCAACCTTGTGGGCTCCCGGAGGGATCCCAGAAGCCAGTCGAGTTCTGCTTGGGCGTGAAGCTTGCTTCTCCAAGGTGCAACTAAGTCAGAACCCAGCCGAGCCGCTAAGTGCTTTTGGAAGATATGAGTTGTGCTTCTGTATGGCTGTGGTGAAGCCCTGTCTCCCTCACCCATTAATCTCTCTGGAGCCTTTGTGTCTGCGCCCAAAAGAGCTCAGGTGAGGAGGGTTGTAATGCTGTGCTCATGCAGCACGCGTGCACCACGCTGATGCTCCGCACGGGGACTGGGGGCTGGCTTGTAGCTGTCCATGGGACAATGTGGGGAGTGCTGATGTGCCTGTGCCAAAAGGGGGTGCCTGGGTTACTGTGGGGGTAACAGCATAGCTGCTGGGAAGAGTGGAGGGGGAGGCAGCCCATATGTGCTCTTTAATAGGGTCTTAGACCTCCAGGTATGGAGATCTGCCTCTGTGGAGAGCAGATCTGGAGGGAACGGATCTTTCTTCTACTTGTTGCCCGACCACCTTGAAAAAACGTACTTTCGTAAGAACCTGTTCGCTGGCTTCTCTCTTCCCCCTTTCTGCTTGTCCTGTGTTCCAGTAAGAGCTCATGGGGGAATGTGGTGCCCCAAAAACCCTTTGCTGGGGTCTGAGTATGTCCTGAGAGCAGATGAGTAAACAAGGGAAGGAATGCAGGAATTCTCCACAGACAACAAATAAACAGGCAGATCGGCTCCCTCCTCCCCCTTGGATGTGCAGGAGAGGCCGTAACCCCTTTTTCCAGCTGCAAATGCTGACGGCGGCAAACAACCCAACTCTGGGTCTGGGAGAGAGCCAGTTCAGCAAAGTGGCTCCCAGGAGGCTCCCGTCTCGAGTGGTTTCTGTAAAAGGGAGGGACTCTGGAGGTTTTTCTGCCTCTCTCTGTGTTCTATTTTGTGCTTGAAAGGGATCAGACCTGCTCCTTCCTTGCACCTGGTGGAGAGGGAGGGAGGAGAAAGAAGAGCGTGCGTGTGTGCGTGGTGGTTTTTATTAAACCTGAACAAACATTTGGAAGAATTTGGTCTTTACCTGGTTTGCTGTGTCCTTTGGCGTGCTCGCTTTGCACATGCTGGGTGTGAGCTGGGGTGGCTGGGCTGGGTGGTTCCCATTTGCGGTGAAGGTTGGTGTCCCTTCAGGCCCTTGGGAGATGACGAGAGATCTGTTTTTTCCTCCTAATACTTACAGATTCAGTGTAGAATTTATCACTGGGCCCCATTCCTCCTCTTGCCTCTACTGGGGGAAGATTCAAAGCTGTGTTGCCTTGGGGTAATGCTCATTGCAGCCCCTGGTATGCGGGGCTGGCTGCGTTTGGTGGGCTGGGACGGGAACTGCTGCAATCGGGGACACGTCCTAGCCACGGGCAGCTTTTCGTGCAGGGGGCTGGGGTGGCAATGGCACTGTTCTTCTCAGCATGCTGTCTCTACCTTGCGGCTGTACCGGTGTCCTGATCCCGGGAGGGGAGAGGTGTGACGTGCCTGTGTGCACCAGTGGATGTGTTTGCCTATAAGCGTGTTCTCCGGTGCAGTACCATAGGACAGGTTTGCTTGGTGTTGCTCCCATGCTGTTGTGCAAGGGAGTTGGAGGTGCCAAAGCTGGGCATGTCTAAATGCTCTCCCTCCTGTGTGCTTAAATTGCAGGTCCCTGCAGTTCTAGGTGGGTTTATCTTTCCTCCCTGCTAGATTAACCTTTCCCGATGCCAGGTAGCAGATGATTCTTTCTGGGACTCCCCTCTTTGAAGATCACTTGTTGCGTAGCTTGCTTCCCTTTAACTAATCAGGGCCCCCTTCCCAGTGGGTCACTGGGGTGCTGCTGGCAGGGCCAGCCTGCCTGGCTGGTGGCTCGGGGCCAGCAGGCTGGCGTGGGGGGAGCAGGGACTGGGCAGGGCTGGAAACCAGCCTGCAGACTGGTGGTGGACCTGGTTTCTCCAAGCTGATGGAGACCTCTCCAGATGGTGTTGCTGAGAAATGATACTGCCAAGGCAAGCTTGAATCGTTCATATCTTGGGTCAAAAAGTGTTTCTTGGGGGAGATGCAGTAATTCTTACTTTGGCATCTGGCTGGCTTGGCTGTTTCGCTTGCCTTGATAACCCCACCTTTCTTGTCACGTCCAGTGGATCTGCTTTTCTTCTTCCCACATCCTGGAAACCTGGTCATTCCGGGAGTATCCCATATGCTGGGTGCTAGCAGGTTTGCTGTCGAGAGCATGGAACAAACTGACCCCCAAACCCTCGATTTCCCTCAAGCCCTACCCAAAATTCAGGCCTCTCCCGAGGTCTGTGGAAGTCCCTTTGGGCTTGCCCAGTGCAGCTGCCCTTGCTGGCTTCTGGGGGGCCATGCAAAACCAGGCATGAGAACTCGCTCCTGCCACCCTGGGAACCATTTCTGAGCTCTGAGTCTGAGAATTTAGCTCTAGGACTTTGTTTTCCATCAGCTCCCCACAGGAGGGTTCAAAGCAAAGCTGCCCAGAACACTGCTCTTCACTGCACTTTGAGTTTAGAAAACAAACGTTTGAGTGCTTTTGCAGAAAGAATTGGAAGAATGGTGGCAGCTGAGTGGAAAAAACGTGAATGTTTTGAGTATCTTCATCTCCTGTCGCTCCAGCTTGGAAAAATCCTAGACCTCAAAATCTTTCCTGTCTAAGAGGGGAGTTCAAACCAGGGCGTCTCTGTGAAACAGCTCAGGTTAGGGTAAAACCAGCATGTTTGGATTACATTTAATTGCAGTAGAAATGCTTTGACCGGCTGTAGTCACAACACAAGACTTCAGCTAAGCTCTGCAAACTGTTGTCAGCACGGAGGGGGCCTGCAGGGAATTTTTTTGGTGCCGAATGGCAGAGGAGCAGCTCTGGGGCTGGCGCAGGAGGCTGGGACACGGGCTCGGGCTGGGCCCTTGGGCCAAGGAGGATGGTTTTTGTTCTGGTGCCTCCACGGGGGCATGCATGGAAAGGGAGCCAGCCCCGAGCAGCCCGCAGTGCTGCGTAGCACCGGGAGTGGATTCCCTCTTGTTCTTCACGACATCTGGATGAGCCTTCCCAGGGAAAGCATTGGCCTGATAAGCCACAGCCTTGCTGTATTTATGCCTTGGATGCTGGTGCTGCACCAAGAGGGCTGAGTCCCTGCCTGGGTGCTAAAGCTTCCCGAGGCACGGCACCAGCCGGCTCCATGCGAGGTGCAGCGCTTGCCTCTCCTTGCTCTGCCCTGGCGACGCCACCAAGCACGCTCTTCGGGAGTTTGACGGCTGACTAAGCCCCGAGAGATCTTTCCCCCGCGTGTCTGTCCCGTATTTCACTTTGATCGCAGCTGCACTTGAAGGGAATCAAGTTTTTTGTGTGTGGTGTGGGAAAGGCTGTGTGTTGACTCCATGCTGAGCTGTCGGGGTGGAAGGAAATTGAGATTTAAATCTTTGTTAGGGCCTTGGTTAATGAGAACCCAGAGCTCCTCTTAAACAGTGCCTTGCTTGTGGCATGATTTGCATTAATGCTGGTGCAATTGCCCCAGCTGAGACTGCTTTGGAGATGTGCATGGACTTTGAACCTCCTTGGAAAGCCCACGTACGGTGGCTTTGCAAGTACAGTGCAACCTGGTAGTGTCGGGTACAGTAAGCACGCGCTGTTGTAACAGAAGGTCCTGCTGGTGGCTTGAGACCCTCGCCCAGAGCAGCATGTCCAACCTATCTTCAAGGAACTCTGGGCTCTGTGCTTTGACTTGTGCGGTGTCCCCTCAGCCTCTCAAGGTGAGGTGGAAAATAGGATCCACAAACTCAAGTCGGAGCACCTTTGGGTGCTTTGGATCTGCCTGTCTTGGGGGCAGTACTCTGCCTCCCCGATGGGAATGATTCCAGCAGTGAGAGCAAGGCTGAGGACTGACCCTCTATGCGCACATGTAGCGGCCGTCCCAAACCTTGTCTGGGCCACCCTTCCCAGGCTAGTGAGGGGGGTGGTGGCCGGTGCTGCCC